CCAGGTTATCAATTTTAGGCAGAGGGTAACTGTCTTTGGGGCACGCCTTGTTTAAGTCTGTGTAGTCTACACACATTCGCCAGGTTCCATTCGGCTTTTTAACAAGCACCACATTTGCAACCCAGTCTGGGAAGTAACATTGCCGAATGAACCCTGCATCAAGTAATTTTTTAACTTCGGCTGCTGCCGCCTGACTTCTTTCTTCGCCATGGTTCCGCTTCTTTTGCCGTACCGGCTTCTTTTTCGGATCCACAGCGAGTTTATGTACCGCCAGATCAGGACTAATGCCTGGAATTTCATGGACTTCAAATGCAAAGATGTCCTTGTATTCTTTCAATAGGTTGTGAAAGTCGTCACCAAGGTTTCTCAGAGCAGTCGTCCCAACTTTGACTGTTCGGTCAGGACGTGAGTCGTCTAAGATCAGGTCCGCATGCTCACCAGCCGGCTGAGGGCGGAACTCATCCGGCCGCTCCTCTGCCAATGATTGCTATTTTCTCGCTTTTCTTGCGGACTCTGTCTGGGACGCCTTTCTCTTTTTGCCGCCTGCTTCCTGAACAGGCGCATTCTCCTTGACATTGTCAAGGTCTGTTTTTTCTCCACTTGACCCAGTGGCCACAACAGTGGGCTTGACATCCGAGAGATAGCACTCTCGGGCCATCCTCTGATCTCCCCTTAGGGAGCCGACTGTTCCATTATCCCTCTCAAACTTGAGCAACATAAGAGACGGGATTATAACAGCCTTGGAATTATTCAGGGTTGGTCGACCCAGAATCATGTTGTAGGCCGAGAGTTCCTCTACTACTAGGAACCGGACTACCATGTGTCGTCCTTCCCCTTTTTCGCCCAGGCGAATGGGTAAATCTACTCGTCCCAGTGGGTGGACGACTCCTCCTCCAAACCCTATTAAAGGGTGGGAGGCCGGATGTATGCAGTCAGTCTGATATTTCAGTTTCGACAGACATTTGCTGCTGATGAGATCGGAGGAGCTCCCGGTATCTATGAGGATTCGGCCAACTCTCTGGTTGGCCACTTTACATTCAATAACGAGAGGGTCGTCATGCGGCCCCCTTACCCCTCCTAGATCCTCTTCAATGATGACAATCTCAGGAAATGTATATTTGGACGGCCGTTCTTGGTGAACGGAATTTACATCTAACCGCCTTATATTATCTTTGTTGCCCCTAATAGTGGGGCCGCCTCCTGAGAAGCCGCCTGCAATAGTGTAGACGACTGCATCATCTGTATCGGAGCTGTCGACCTGTTGATTCTTTTTGGCCGACAGCTTTCTTGAGGAAGTGTTCCCCGTAGATTTTTTGACATAAGTGTCAAGATCACCTTGCTCAGCCAGGCGGTCTAGGTACCGCATGAGACTGATGCAGTCATTGGTGTGATGACCAACGTCATCATGATAAGCACAGATTTTATCTTGGTTCCGGTTGTTTGCAGAACCCTTCATGGGGACCGGCTTCTCAATTGAGATCCGTCCCTTTATTTCTTTTAGGATAAACTGGTTATCCTTGTTAAACGCATACTTTGGGGAGTATGGTTTGAATTCTTTTTTCTTTTTCTGGGCCGGCTATTTAGAGGAATCAGCCGCCCAGACCTCTTTTCTTTTCTCATCTTTGTTTGACGACTGTTTCTGTCGTCCTTCTCTTTTGTCGAACCTTTTCCCATCCGACTGTTTTATCGTACACAGATCAGTCGCCTGTATATAGGCTTCTGCTTCAATCAAGGCCTCTTGAAGAGTCGCCACCCTTTTTCGAACCAAATCAAATTTGAAGGTAGACCCGTCTTTGAGACCTCTAAAAAAGTCGGTATAAGCTACCTCATCCGGTAACCCTTGAATCTGTATTCTCATCAGGTTAAACCGCCTGATGTAAGAACGAAGCCCCTCCTTCTCGCCCTGCTGAATTGTTCCCAAATCAAGGGTCGTTTTCTTCGCAGGGATGTTAATGGCGAAGTTGGAGGCAAACAAGTAAGCAAGCGTCCTGAAGCTGTTTACACAACCAGTCGGCAGGTTGCCGAACCATTGCTGTGCGATTCCCTTGAGAGTCGCTGGGAAACACTTGCACCAAGTGGGATCATCCAACCCTTGAAGGTACATCAGGTTGGTGAATGCCATCAGATGGTCTTCTGGGTTAGTAGTGCCGTCATAGGTGCCTACTAGTACATTTTTTACTTTGGCCGGCTGAGCGGCTTCAGTAATTTCCTTGGAGAAGGCCGACGGCTGTTCACCAAGTCTAAGCAACCATAGCTGCCAGTCCATAGGTTGGACGTTTTTTGCTGCAGGTCCACCAAATGGAGGTGGCTGCATAAAATACTGTTGTTGCGGCACAAATGGTAAGTTTGGTACCGCCTGGGCACTATGAAAGCCGGACTGACGGGAGGTGCCGCCTGACTGACTCTCATGGTACGACTGAGTATGCCTCATCGAGGCATTTCGCAAACTGTCTTGAAAGTCTGAAGTAGAAGCCGACTCTGACAATCGGTCACTCTTCTTCTGCTCTAGCAGTAGCCGAGCATCTGTGAATGTTTGCTTTGACCCGTCCGCCTGAATATGACGAACCGGTTTCCTATTTCCTGTAGGATAACGGAATTTTGTGAAATCAAGGGCAGGTGGCTCCCGCTTCCTAGATTTAGGATGAGGAGTCTCCTCTCGCCCTTGAACTGGCTTCCTCTTCAGTGAAGTGGAAGGTTTCTTGGCCGACTGCTCCTTGACTGAAGCAGGCGGCTTCTTGTTGATCAACTCTTGAATCTCTCCATTGAAGTCCCTCATGAAGGTCATGAGTTCGTTCCTTGTGATGGGAGCAGACCCATCAGTCGGCTGTTGCCGAGCAGGCGGTGCGCCTGCTGGCTCGCTTCCTGTTTGAAGATGCTCCCGTTCCCTCCTTTCGGTATGACGGGTACGTCGGGCCCTTAGGGTCCCGTCTGGAGCTGTATGAGTTTCAACTTCAAATTCACTTTCGGTGTCATGGTCCGACTGAACTTGAGGGTCGTTTAGGGGACGCCTCTCTTCAGGAGTCGGTACAGACTTGGATGCCATCTCTGAAGTACTCTCCCCACAGACGGCGCCAAATGTTTCGGGGTTTTCTGATGTCCTGCGGGAGAGTTACAATTCCGAGACTGGAACCGGACGCCTGTACCTGCAAAATAACGGAGACTCCTGAGAGCTCCGCCTCCGACGGTCAAGTTAGTACCTGATTAAGGAGTAATTAATGCGGAAATTAAAGTAATAAGATCTCTCTAGGTGAGAGTGTTTAATGTAGGTAATCTGCTTTGTTAGCGAGATCAGCCGGTTATTAGTGTGTTCCGTAATGTTTCTGTTCTGTTCCGTTCTTCAGGTGAGATTAATTGCTTGATCCCCTTTAATGAGGATTAATTAAGTATTTATAGTCTTGAGAAGCGTGCCACTCTCTAGGTTTTGGGTAAACCTAGGGCTGACCGGGCCTCTAAACAGGATTGGGCCTTGTTGGCCGGTTTTCCCATTTGGCATGGGTGGACACGTGGCGTGTCTCAATTGGTCCGTAGAGGACGTATCTGTGATTGACACGTGGCAGGCTCCTATTGGCCTACGTGAAGGACACGTGGCGGAACCTGGTTGGTCCACTTGTCAGACGGTGATTGGTGGATAAAAATCCCCTAATCAGGATCTACAAGCATAACACAAAAAGAACACATAATTGTACCTTTGAAGCGTGATTCCACGAGTGATTGAGCAAGAACAATGAGGAGATCTAGAACCCCAAACGTGATTCTTTTACTTGGTCCACAAGTACAAATTGAACCTCCACTAATGCTAGTTAGCTGTGATTAAACCCTTTAATCAACCTTCTACGGAGAGGAGAGGAGACAAACGAGCCACGAACCACCACCACCACCATGCGTCCACCGTGCGCCGGTGTCCGTACCGTACGGACAAGGGGGGAGGAAGAGAGAGGCGGCGTGAGAGAGAAAGGGGTTGGGAGTTGGTTGCTTGCTTCACAATTCACTGCTTAGATTAATTGTGACTTGTATGTCGACCCTAGGCATGAACTCTATTTATATATCACATATAATTAAAGTCCATATGAAACCCAAACTCCTAACCCAATTGTAACTACACCAGCCCTACTCCTTACATGGCTTGTCATTACCTCATGAGGCCCATTAATGGGCTTCATACTTGTTCAATCCAATACTCTTGTGTATGACCTCATAAGATCCATTTTATTGGGCTTTTGGGATTGTTTGACTAGCCTAAAGATCATTTATCATATCTAGCAACAGATAATGACGACCCAAAAGAATGAACTAATTATCTCTTTAATAGTGATCCTTGATACATATATAGTAATTGCACTTGACGAAGACATAAATCCTTCACATTCATCTCATTGATGGCACATGAAAAGTGATAGCCGTCTGATCTTAGTTACTCTAACGGTTGTTCTCATACATGAATACGTTCTTAATCTTCTCATACATGGAAGATGTTCTTACCAAGTAGTAATTGGTCTGATGGTATGATTATCATCTCACAAGCATGTGGTTGTGGGATCAATCCCTACTAGAGGTAACTTAGGGATGAGGATTCCTAAGGACAAAACCCGCATACCCAAGTAGAGTTAAGTATGAAAGATTTTGATCCAATAGGACGCCCTCGATCTAATAAGGCACCTTCTCCTTTTACAAATGCATGGTTAAATATGGAAAGTCATCAAGCAATTGTACATTATTACACCGTATAATATACACAATTACTTTTACTAATTCTCTAAAAGGATCCAAGTTTGATCTACATCTATATTCCCTATATAACTCAAATCCTTATAAACAAATTTAGATCACTAAATTTACATAGGGTGTACGATACCTAATTCTTTAAATCAAACTAACTTATCAAACCGATTAACCATCAACAAACCCATATTTTGAACCATTACATCTAAACCGATCTCGATCGAAATAACCCAATTGTCACCTCCAGTATATACCAACTCATGCTAGTCATTCCTATTGGCCCATCACTATAGTTACACCGACCTATGTCAAAAGACACGACGTAGCCAAATTTAGAGCCCTTCTTCAAACGACATTTCCCCCACTCTTTCTTTCTTCCCTTTCTTCTTCATTCTTCATCCTTCATCGCCGTTAAATCTCTCTGTCCGAGCTTCTTCTACCACCATCATACCGCTTTCAAATCCCCTCATCACCCCTCAAAATGAACAGAATCACCAGCCTTGCCGCACTCCGGCGCGCCACCGCCGCAACAGCCGCAGCTTCATTCTCCCAGACCCGATCCCTTCAGCAAGCGGCTCCCTTCAGCAGCTCCGCCTCCTCCCACTGGTTTTCCGGGAGGTTTATCCGTCACTTTGGGTCGACTTCTCCGGCATCTCATTCTCTCCCCTCTAATGGCATCGCCGGAACTATGTTCTTCTCTGTTGCTGCTGCGACCACTTTAACTCAAGAGGCTCATGCTAAGGAACCCATTCAGTCTCAAATTTTTAAGGACGTTGTTCTTTACCAGTATGAAGCTTGCCCTTTTTGCAACAAGGTTAAAGGTATTATATTTCTGCAATTTTTCAGCATTTTCTGCTAAATTTTTGCTTGTCTTTGTGTGGTTGGGATCGTTTTTCAATGTTGGTATTCTGATTTATGTATGCAGAGCAATGTGGAATTTATTTATGTTTGTGGGTGTTATTTCTTTAGTTTAAGCAAGGGAAAAATTATGCTTTTTGGTTGTGCTCACCAAGTGTTCGACGTATTGTTTGAATGAAATCAAGTTGTCAAACTTGGTTTCTACCGCAAAGAAGAATTTTGGCATTGATTACTTTCAGAAACACTTTCTATGATAGTTAGGGATTAAGTCGTGCCAGAGATTTTATAATCTATATTAGTGGTTTAGTCTTGTGCTTTTGTTGTTGGATATGGAGCATTTCTTTCTTGTTATATTGGTTAGAATAGGTTGATTGCCTTGAGATATAATTTGGAGATGCTAGGGGTCTAAGGGGATCTCTTGCTTGTGCGGTTGTGCCTAAGTTATTAAATGTGAGCAGAGGAGTTGATACACTTTACCTTTGAGGTTTTAGTGATATGCGTGGATGAGTTAAGACTAATATGGAAGAGTTTAGATTCGTTACACTTGAGCTATTAAAATATGCAACACACGGGGATGAAGAGCATTATCCTTCTGGTACGAGGCTATAAATAATGGAACCTTTGCTTTATGTAACCCATCATGGATTAGCTAACTAATACAATCCAAGGAGATGTGTCTTGCTCTATGTTATTTGTGATTTATTCTAATAGATGGCATAAAAAGAAGAAGATAGTAATGTGCCATTTGACCCGTAAGAGAGAATCATTGATGGATACTCTAAACTAGTGCAGTCCTAGGAGATGTGTCCTGCCTTATGTAATTTGCAATTTATGCTCTTTTAATGGATGACATAATGGAAGAAAATAAAATGCCATTTGATCCAAATGAGAGAGTTGATATACTTCAAGTTATTTTTGATGCCCTTCAAGTTCTAGGCCTTCTAGCTGGAACTAAGCAGGAAAAAAAAGGGTTATTGCCAGTTTGCCACAATAAGGTAATATCACGAATGCCCCTCCAACACTCTTGTTAGACATACTTTCTAGAAAGGGGATTAGAAATTGTATTTTCGAATCAACAATTATGAGAATGACCCATTTATATGGGGTTTAAGGGTAATGGATGTCATGATCTAAATTGTTGGGGGCTATTATACGCGTGAGGAAAAGTTTTGGGTTTAAGTAGGTTCACTATATTCCCTATCGAGGGTAATTCATCATCGTTTTACCTGCAATTGACCATGCTATGGACTTGGACCCTAAGCACTCTCCTAGACCAGCTTATGAGTTAGGGACAAATACTCCAAAATATGGAGGGGTGGCGGCAAGCAACTATAGTAAGGCTAATTCTTATGGACTCCTCCATAGGGAAGTTTGAGGGGGATGTAAGAGGTAGCGGTTTTCCTATAACAAGCTAATTTTCCTACTCTCAAGCAATGAGTCAATTAATATAGCTTGAATCAATTGGTTATGAATTATTGTAATCGGTTTATAGCCTCTCGGCTCGTGGACATCATCCTTACTTATATAAGTAAGCACGTAGAAACAACCTTAGAGTACTCAGTTTGATTGGATTTTCATTTGTAGATCGGGTCAATGGCCTTAGAATCAAAGTACCTTTGAGATGTATACTACATAAGATCAAAAGAGGGGATAAACACTAAGACTCAAGGTTGGATAATTGTCACATAGCTCAAAACAGTGTATAAAAGAGAGCTTTTTTTGCTCTAGGGAAGGTGCACTCAAAGAAGCACACCTCCGGTGAAATTTTTAGTTGTTTATACTATGTACCCCAATTTAAAGAGGCCCGCCCAAGACATGCCTAACCGGATCAGGACCTTTATTGCTTTAATGTGCATTGAGATTTTTTATACATCAGCTCGAAATTAACCAATGAGGCAATATATTCCATAGATAGTTTTCATACATTTTCATTCACCAAAGGAGCTATATTTCATAATGGCTAAATTTAAGCTAGTAATTAAGCCCTAAGGAAACTATTTTTTTTTTGTTTTTAAAATTTATACTACATTATTATATATTAAAAATATTTTCCTAATATAGTTTAAGATAAATTTAGCCAGAGTTATTGCATTTAAATCAGTATATTGTTTGAGAATTGATGATCAGAGTTTATAAGTTTGGACTTTAGACCAGAAATCAAAATTGTACATCATTTTGGGATGGATGGAGTGAACATGACTTCGTAAATTGAGATAAATGTACTCTCCATCATATCTCTAAATTGGATTAGCTCAGGGAAAGATGTTCACTTATATTTATTCACCCATAGGCTTCCTTGAGTCCTGTCATTCTATGTGCATGAGGTTTCAGTCTTCATGCATAACTTTCTTGGTTGTAGGCTGCTAACTAGGCAAACATGCACTACTCTTGTTCAAGCTATTTCAGGAAAACTATTACATATATATTTCTTGGTGCTTCCATATAATGCAAGTTGTGGCTCAAATGGAAGTTGTTAGCACCTCAAATGCTTCTTCTATTGCCAAAATACTGCAGTGCCCAATAGCTTTGCTGAAATTACTTTCCTGGCGTGTTATCCTAGCCTCGTGGCTGCGGCAATCTTCACTGGTGCCCAGCGTAGGTGTGCCTAGGTGCTAGGTGATTTGGGTAGAGCCCCTTTTTTTGCTCTAATCAAGGCGCATGAGGCACAGATAAGCAAATTTCTTTAACTGCTTTATATTGTGCACCTCAGTTCAAAGAGGCGCACCAAAGCACTCCTAGGCACAGCAGGACCTTCATCTCCTCATCATGACTTGAGCCTTTTTATACATTGCTGGCGCCTGTGGAACTGCTGGGAATCTGCAGTAGCTTCAGTTTCCACATTCTGGACAGCACTTGCTTCCATTAGGATCTCAGTTCAGAATTTATGCAAAACGGCATCTTTACAAATCAAAAATTATTGAGGTTTTTCTTTTTCCTCTCTCTCTCTCTTGCACATGCACTGACTATCGCAAAAGTTTTAGTTTGGAAGGTTTAACCATGTAATATTTCTATTTCGGAGCTTTCCTTGCAATTCTCGGAATAGTAGCTTAAACTTGTTTCATAGGCCATGGCCATGAGTCACAATAGGATTGAAATGAAAGCTGTCATCTAAGCTTAACCGTCCAAGTCTTATACCCCTGCTGTTTATAACTTTAAATATTGCAGCGTATGTGACTCCGTTATGGACAATTGGACGGTGGGAATCAGTTGCATTAGGGCAGGTATCCTCAATTGTGGCCTAGCCTATAGCCAATATGTGGTTCTCACTGGCCTTGTTGATGCTGTTTTCTAGCTTGCTGGAAACTCAAAGGCAAAATTGCAAGGCCTCCACAACTGGGGGCTGGACATAACGAGCCTTTGGTGCTCACTGGCCTTGCTGATACTCTTATGCTGGCCTGCTGTTCAAGCACAATGGCTGTGGTAATCTCCATTGTCAAATGTAGCTATCTGGAAACTGTAGTAGTTTTACTCCTTGGTTGGCTTTTAATTTATTTGTCCTTGAAACTCTCAAAATGCTTAAGATAAAACTGTACAAGGTGAAAACTAGCTCTTACTTTCATCTGACCTCTTTGCATCCTCTAGTTTCGAAGTGTAAAGTGAAGCAACAATCGTATTTAATCTTATATTTCGGGATAGCTGAATAGTAACTTGATGAGAATGACACTGTCACCAAAGATTCAAGGGAATTTACTGGACGTAGGATTATATTGAGCCAATCAACTTAAAGGCTCACTAATTTTGTTGCGCTTATTGTTTATTGTGAAGTAGCTGAGGGTCTTGCAAGTTGGGTCAAGGGTAATGATCTAACTGATTACCCCACTTATAGAGGGAGCCTCTATCTAGGCATTGAGGCATATTTGTTGCTGATGTTATAATGTCCTAACTTCTAGATCCAATCATGATCTAGTGAAGTTCGATCCAGAGTAGCTTATGTGAACTGAAATTAGAATTTTGTCCAATTACTGTACACTACTAGCAAGTTATGGATCTCCCAGTGCTCTTTCTCCCTGAGTCTGGATTATGCCAAGTTAAAGTGCAAACTACCTTGGCTCTTGTTTTGTTTTGGTTTGCAGTTGTAAATGTTGGTATTTGGTGTTGTGTTGCCACTGTGGACGTCTTGTACGCGTTCTTATTATTCTTTTTCGTTTTAATATAATTTTACTTCCGATATAACAGTGCATACTGCTCAGATAGTTGCTTGAATTTGAAAGGGGGAAAAAATCTGGTACCCAGATTGCCATTTGGCCCTTGGGCTAGTGTTTGACCTGCTCATTATAACATGTAACTTAAGATGATATTGTATTAACACTACTGAACATCTTGTTTACCATGTTTAAGTGTTTTTCTTTCCTTTAAATCCCAGCTTTTCTCGATTACTATAACATTCCATACAAAGTTGTGGAGGTTAATCCCATCGGCAAGAAGGAGATTAAGTGGTCAGATTACAAGAAGGTGCCTATACTGACTGTTGACGGTGAACAGATGATTGAGTCATCAGGTTTGTGATCCTGAATTTTTTAAATCTTCTTCTTAATATTAGCTTCTACCATTCATTAGTCAAAATCATGTTAATTTAACTCTGTGGTTGCAGAGATTATTCAATCACTTTACAAAAAAATTCATCCGGAGGGATCCACTGGTTCTAGCACAAGCACTGAGGAAGAGAAGAAATGGCTGGGGTGAATACAATCTCTTAATCCTTTAAGTTGTTGCCTCATTGCACCTGTGTATTAGGCGTGAATTGGTGGTTGTGATTTTATGCTGGCTTTCAGCTCATAAAAGAAGTCTTCACTCAAGACATTTATAGTTTATTTATATCTATTTTGATTTACAAGAGCTCTTGAGAATAGTTGACTAACTATTCCTGCGACTATGCAATTTTAGTGTTAGCTTTGAGTTACACATTGACTGAAATTCATCTCTGACTATAGGTGGGTGGATAGTCACTTGGTGCATGTCTTGTCACCAAATATCTATCGATCAGCGGGTGAGGCTCTCGAGTCATTTGATTACATCGCAACCCATGGTAAGTGCTTTAATGGTTTCCCAGTTTCAAAGTCTCAGTACTGCTGCATATTTCTCATTTTTCATGGACATTAGGACACTTTTCCTCTTTTTTGTCGCCATTGTCACATAGATGATATTCCAACTTCCAAGCATTAAAATTCACAATCAGGACCATAATCACAGTTGGGAATTCTTTCAATTGCCGGATTGAAAATGTTATGATGCAATTTGAAGTAGTACTCTTCAGATGATAGTATTAGAAACTATCATGGCAAACAAGTTCAGAGGGACCTGCACTGATGTAAACTTTGATGGTACATCTGTCTCCCAAGTTCTGGCAATCTGTCTAATTCCATTGGAGCAGTCGAAGAGATCCTGAATTTTTAGCTCACCCTTGTGTAAAGAAAGAATATTTTTCTATTAATTTGGAGGCACACTGCTCCAATATTATGGTATAGTAGGATTAGCTACACTAGTTACTAATTTAATAGTAAGACTGTAAGATTTTATATGAGTTGTAAGGACATTGTGGGATTGGTATGTGTGGCCAGAGGTTCACTGATATGAGTGACCATCAAACAACTTAATTGACTTTGGGACAAATTTAGTCGCATAAAATTCCTTGCTTGACCCATCTTTGATACTGCAAATGTTAGCTTGCTATAGCTTATTGTTGTTTGGAACTAAGTATGATGGTTAACAAGTAGAATTGTAACAGTGACGACATGACATGGGGGAGTTGGGACTGGAAGAGATCATTCTTTCTCCAATTTGTACAACTTTGGGCTTATTCTTGTGTAATGTGCAGGGAATTTTGGCTTCATGGAGAAGATGGTAGCAAAATATGCTGGTGCTACAGCCATGTATTTTGTGGCCAAGAAATTGAAGAAGAAGTATAATATAACTGATGAACGTGAATCTTTGTATCAATCCGCAGAAACATGGGTAGATGCCCTCAAGGGTCGGCCTTTTCTTGGTATGCATTAAGTACCTACCTGTTACTCTTTATTCGATCTAAGATATCACTGTAGATAATTTTATGGTTAACGTAAGATGTTATTGTAACAGGTGACTCAAAACCTAATCTGGCTGATCTTGCTGTGTTTGGTGTCCTGAGACCAATACGCAACCTACAATCTGGCAGGGACATGGTGGAGCACACACGCATTGGTGATTGGTACTCTCGGATGGAAAAAGCGGTGGGGGAATCTTGTAGAGTAACTGTGTAGCGCTATTATCATCCAGCATTCCGCCTCTCAGTAACTTTGTAGTCTTGTTTGTCTGGTTAAATCTCTATATGCAGTGATAGCTGAAGATATCTTAATTTCAAAAAGTAAATAAAGACTAGGAGTCATTAGACGTGTACCTCATATACACAGATTTGTGAGGATATAGACATTTTTTCATCGCATATACATTTTTTGCAGGGTTACACGGCTACCAGCCCCTATTTCTTGTAGGTAAAATTGCCACACCATCAGGAAGAGATATAGCTCGTTTCTCCCAGTTGTTGACATAAACGGTGGTTAAATGCAAAAGAAATGTATTCTTATTCATAGTATGCAAAAGATGCTTGGAAAAAGTTTTGGAGTTATTGCTGTATGCATTTTCAACCTTCTCATCTTTATTTTTTCTCATCTCTACACATCTCATGCTTTTTATTGTGACTCGACTAGTCTATTAGCTCAAGTACCTAAAATAGCTGAAAGGATACGGCTAATTCTCGGTTCTCCTCTGCAATGGCTGCAACTCGTCTCCAATTCTTGGATGTTGTAACGCGTTCACTGCTTCCTAAATCCCCTGAAGAAAAAACATTGTGCCTCATTCTGTATTTCTCTTGTCTTGGTGGTCATACTTTTTGCCCCTTTTTTAATCATCGACCTATCCTTCGGTTTGTATGTTTTTTTTCTTGCATTACATATAGATAGCACTCTATACTTTATTTTTGAAACAAATTAACATTATTATTATGAAACTACTTTATAGTTAAGATTTTAATGAGAAGTTAGTGAGAAAAACTTGTTGATCTTCGTTTTTCTTCCAAGATTCATACTCTATCCCATTAACACAATTTTCTTAAAAAAAAATCTATTTCACTTCAGCTGTTATATGATGGCTTTTATTACATCTATTCTTTGTTTTGTTTATTAAGTTATTTCAGGGTAGCATACTTATCCAGGGATAAATTGTACCGTAATAATATGACTTGATATCAGTTGTTTCAAACGTAATTTGAAGTTGAAAATCATAAAAAGTTAAATGGGAAAATATTTAAGAGAGGGAGTATACTCGTAGCTTTTTTCTTTGCAATTAATAAGATGTGTACAGTAAACAACACTGCTATAGTTTGTTGCCTCTAGTAGAGGCATGCAAGACATATTTTAATTTCCAAAATTTAGTAACTCCTTGAGTATTTGACAATCTCGAAAAGGAAACGATAGCTACTGGAAGATCTCTGCCAGATTTGTTGAACAATAACTTTCAGTTGAAACAACTTCATTGAGATTTTGAGGTTAAAGTACAACCTGTATCCCTGTTAATTTGTTGCAGTAACAGTAAGGCTGAATCACTTTGATACTTAATTGTCCTTTGGAAAGAGCAGTGTCTCTTTTTTGTATGCAGCAATAATTGTAGAGGATATTTCATTCCTGAAAGAGATCTTAATTATTTACATCACTCATGGACTGGGTTTACTATTATAGATATACAATGCTGGCTTTAAGGTGTACTATGGTGAAAATAAGTTCATCAAAGTTCATTTAAAATTAGAAAAAAAAACCCCAAAAAAATTCTAACATAATAATTTTAACCTCTCTTAAATAAATTCAAATAATACAATTTCAGACAATATTATTTCTTACAAAATAAAATTGAACCAAATGAAGCCTAAGTGTATTCACAATTTCACATCTAAATGTAACTTGGTTTAGAGGAAATGAGAGCATCATCTAACCATGAGGTTGAAGGTTCAATCCCCACTAGCGACAATTTAGGGATGGGATTCATCCCCTCCAAAAAAATCTCCCAAATTGTCTAAACCGGTAACCCAATGGTCGTTTAAACCCTATTTGTTGTTATTGAATTGTTGTTTAAGATAAGAATAATGATTTATTTTTTTTCTAAAAATCTTATATTAAACGGTTCCATGAGTCATTTAAGGACCAACATCTCTTACACGCTAGCTTGAGTAATGATTAATGAGACATGATCTCTACTTATTTATTTAATAATAAATTAAAAAACTAAAAATTATTGTTTAAAGTACAATAGTTAGCCTATAATCCCAAGTTTTCTCATTTGATAAGTATAAAACCATACAACATCAATATTGATTCTCATTTGATAGAGTATAAACCATGCAACATCAATATTGATTCACGCTTCAAACCAAAGGGTTCTCAAACATGAGGTGGAGAGGATATAAAATCAATTGTGGGAATCCAACCATAAGCTTAAGGCTTAGGTAAACTTGAGTAACTCTTATCAAAATTTATTTATAGTATTTTTTCAAAGATAAGTGAAAATTAAGCAAAGTAACTCACATCTAAATGAAATTGGAGCAATAATGTTAGTATTAAGGCAGTCCCAAAAAATAGGAACAACGTTCAAGGATTGGAAGAAGTAGATATATAGCTACTCTAGTCTCTCTGCCCTATGGTTATGGTTTGGAGTCATGCATGCATCTCTTTTTCATTATTTTCAATTTTTTTTTTTACTTTTTGAAATTGAAGGTTTATGTCATCCAACAAAACAACAAAAATGGCAGGTTTATCTATGAATTAAATTACCTAAAATACACTGTACATGTTATAAGCAACATAATGGATGAGGCAAAAGAGTGTAAACAGGAAACAGTGGACACCATAATTAGACTAAGCTGCAATGTTATGGTCTAGTCCATATAACCCTACTTACCTACTCATCCATCTAAATGTCCACTTTCAGTCTTTTCTGCAACTCATTATTTTACACTTTTTAAGTATTTCTGAAGAGTCTAAATTTGATCCTATTTTCACATAGGTTAAGCTAGATTTATGCAACAGATACCAAAAAAAGAGATGAAAAGCTTAAAAAGGTGATGTTTAAAACGAACTACTACAGTAGTATGCTACTATATTAAGCATTTAAAAATACTCCAACTATGATAAAGTATTAATGTACGTTTCTTTTTTGTTGATAGTAATAATAATAATAATAAGGTCCCATCCTTTTCAAATCTCTTCAGTCGTGTAATGGCGTAGTTGCCAGTACACTGTTTAAGGCCAATGTCAGACTAAAGATTTAAAGAATTTAAAGGAGGAATGCAGGCTGCCTAATCTTTTCTTTCTCTCATCCTCAATTCCAATACAATGTGACACAAAGTTGATTCAGAAAGGTTCCTTTCTTTTTGGTGGTGCATGTAAAATATTATAAGGTGGATTAATGGATTATGTTCTCTTCTATCTTAAAATTAAGGTCCAATTGATAATTAGCTAGCAGTTAGTTACTAAGAATTGATTTAATTAACTAACTAGTTGCATTATATGTTTGACGAGTTGGTATTCATTATTGTATTAGGAGTAGTTGTTTGTATTAAGTATTTTTTTTTTTAATGTTTAGTAAAAGTCATTTAATTGACTCTTTACCGAGCAATCATATGGTGGATTTATAGAGTCAAACCTCTAAATTAGTTAAATTAATTTATGTTTGGCAAAATTTAATGTACCAAATAAGTCCCTAAAATAAGTTTGCATTAGTCCCAACAAACTAAGTTCGAATAAGGTTTTGTTTGATTCATATGATTTTGTTGGAATTAGAGTGTGTTCTATTCACCTGATTTTTATTTATCTGAACTTATTAGACTTTAAAACTTAATTTAGTTGTAATTTGAACTTGGACAACCCTTATCAGAACTTATTTTTTCTAAACTGAACTAAACTAAACTTAACTTATTTGAACTTATTAGACTTGAAATAAGTGAAAATAAGGTGAACAAAACAAACCTTTTGTATGAGTTTATTTAATTTTACATTACATAAACTTATTTCATTTTATCTAAACTTATCCGGACTTATTTTTTTTAGTTCATTTTTTATGATCTTGCCTTATTATATCTGAACTTATATTTTCTTTGAATATTTAATATTTATTTTATTTGAACTTATTTTTTCGAAATAAGATAAAATTAGTACAATTAAAATAAACCAACAGACTTAGAGCCAATACATTAGAGTGTTGTTTTCTTTCTTATTATTTACACTGGATGTAAGCCCCTGCAATGCACATTTTTTTTAAATAAACCTCACGAAAGATAATTTTTGTATAAAATTTTGATTGATTAATTATTGCTTGTTAAAAATAATTTTTATTATATTGCGACCTTATTCGATGTTAGTCGTGTGAAAATTGAATTTTAAATTAATAACTAAATTTTAGGTATGATATCTTATTCGTCATATATTATAATAAAATATTTAATTTTAAAAAATATTTTTAAAAATAATTTAAATCATAAATCATGTAGTTTTTTTTTTTTTTTTTATTTTTTTTACCAATGTGACACATTATATTAAACTCTCAAATCTCATTCGTTTATTTTGCTTGCGTGCGATTGATTTTTTCAAGTTTTAAATAATTTTTTTTTCATTGGTCAAAATAATGCCTTTTTATATGTTATATTATTTGTCGAATTTTAGGATAAAAATTTTTGACGTGATTTTTTTTGTTTTTGTTTTTATATAATTTAAATAATCCTAAATCTAAATCACTATTCGTATTTTCTTTACCTACGTGGCACATAATATTAAACTCTCAAATCTTATTCGTTCATCAGTGTTATATATAGGCTCATGGTGTGGCCAACCACACACAATACGCGCTTTATATTTAATGTTAAAACATATAAACATTTATATTTTTAAAAATTTTAAATCCTAAATCATAGTATTTTACCTAGCACTTGAAATTACACTGTAAAATTTTATTCATTAGTTTTGTTTATATGACAATTTATTTTTTTAATACTAATATAAAATTTAATTTTTTTTCATTGGTCAAAATAATGTTCTTGTATATGTTATCTCATCTAATGGATATTAGGATTAAAATTTTAATGTAAAAAGAAGATTTTCTAAAACATAATTTAAATGCTAAATCACTATTTGTAGATTTTTTTTAACTTACGTGGCATGTAAAATAAATTATATGAAAATTCATTAAATTTGCATACGTGGCGTTTTTTTTTTGAAATAAATCTTTTGCTTATGTGGCGCACAAAATGCTTCAAAAAATGTCTATTTTATTTATATACTAGTTTTGTGCCCGGACGATGCCCAAATTGTTGATAAATTTTTTGGTTTGAATGTTAAAATTGGTCTTATAACCCCTTTTGATAATGCTAGATATGTTGAGACATACAATATCATATCGCTTATTTATATAATAATTGTACTTTTTATAGTTTTGTTTGTAAATAGATATCTATGTTATTATGGACTTGAAATTATTTTTATTGAACTTTGATTATTTTGACTGAACTCAAGTATTTAATTTATACCAAACTAAAATTATTTTTACCAATTAAAACTTATTTTTATTTATTTTTAAAAATAAATTAAATATATTAAAAATGGATCTTATTTTAAAGAACTTTTTAAAACAAATTTTGTTATGGAATTAGAACTGAGTTATAGGATATTTATTAAAAGTTATGATTAATTTTGTATATATGAAATATTAGAAGTATATCAATAATAAAACTCTATATAACATTTTTATCTTAAAAAATCTATCCATAATTCTCTTCCTTACGTGGCTCGACACTTGGAGTTTAATCATAAGTAAAGATAATTTTAATATCTAAAGATAATTTTTAGTTCTTAAAAAAATAGTTTTTTAAATAGTTAAATCCTAATAAATTACTATTTGTTGTTTTTACCTACGTGGCAAATTTCTTAAATCTCATTTGTCACTTTTGCTTGGGTGGCGAGTGAATTTTTTAATTTTAAAATAAAATACAAATCTAATTTTTAATTGGTCAAAATAATACCTTTGCTTATGTGGTGCGTCAAATGCTCTCGAAAAATGCCTACTTTATATATATATATATATATATATATATATATATATATATATATATATATATATATATATACATACTAGTTTTGTTCTGGGCATCTAGTTTTGTTCCCGGGCGATGCCCAGAAGCTTGATAAAATTTTAGGATAAACTTTTTGGGTTGAATGTTAAACACGGTCATATTAATGATGCTTGATATTTATACGATATCATGTTACTTATATTTATATAATTTTGTTTGTAAATAGATATTTATTTTATTATTGACTTGAAATTATTTTTATTGAACTTAAATTATTTTTACTAAAAATATTTTTACCAAACTAAATTATTTTACTAATTAAAACTTATTTTTACTGATGGTCTATTATATTTTAAATAAACTAAATACATTATAAATGGATCTTGTTATAAAGAACTTTTTAAAATGAATTTTATGATGGAAATAGAAACGAGTTATAGGATATTTATTAAAACTTAAGATTAATTCTGTATATATGACATATTAGAAGTATATCGATAATAAAATTCTATACAACATTTTTATCTTTGAAAATCTATCCAAAATCCGCTTACTTAGCATCATATGTGTCAAAATAATTCCTATTTGTTGCCTACCTGGCTCGACACTTGGCAAAAAACTGAAATGCCAAGTGTCGTGGTCTCGTGTCCTGACTGCGAGACCGACTTTATTTATTAGTGATATGATATGATATTAGATTTTAAAAAGTTGATAAATAATATGTTAATTCAAACAAATTAAGCTATATTATTGTCTTCACTAACTTAGAGGGCATTATACTAATTTTTTCTCACTTATTAAAACTTTGTTTAGTTGTAAAATAAACTTTGTAGCCTCATTAGCTTTTATTAGATTTTATTTTCTTTCCTATTTTCTTGAAAAGAAAATATTTTAAAGTAATAATTATATTATATGTATTTCATTTGTTTTCGAAAGTTCCTAATTTGCGTCGCCTTTAGCACAATTTCAATGCACATCTTTGACCATTATTAAAATCTTCTTCTATGCATGTATATATAAAAAATTGAAAAAGTTTATATTTTGAAAAATTACAGTAGGATGAATGTAACAATATTCCACATATGAAATATATTTCTTTGTATAAATCAAAAAATACGATGAAAATTATTTGTATTTTGTCCACATAAATAGTGAGCCGAACTTATAGTATAGAGGAAGACCGGGTGGTGCAAAAATATAAAACATGAAAGAGTATTAAATAATTTTACTAATCCATAAATTATTTTTGGCTAAATTATTGTGTGAACTTTTTGAGCGAAATAAAAATTAAGTTTAAATTTTGCTAGAAATAAATCCAAATCATATTTACATTCAATCATTATTGTTGCATATTTATCATTCTCCGTTTTAAGATAGTTACTATAGGATCTTCTCTCTTAGTGTGAATTGGCTTTTAGGTAAAAAAATTGCAAGATCCAAATATTCTAAAATAACACTTGTACCTATATAGAAATCTCTTTAAAAAGCATATATGAAGTTGTACAATGCATGTAATCGTATGAAAACAAATACTTTGTATAAGGAAGGTAAACCAATTCAATTTGTGTAAATGTTGTTGCTACACGTTATGAACACTTCCAAAGAGCAAGAGTATCATGATACGTTGCAATCAAAGAGTAGTGTCTAGTGTGCCTCCTTCCCAAGGCTAGTTTCTCACTACCTACCAAATTGTGTTCTTATAGCAAAGAAAACTTGGAGCTCTTAAGGGAGAATAGAAGAATGATCATGAGCCCTATATATGGCTAACTTTTTATTACCCCAAAAAAAAAGTTGGAATTATATAAGCTTAATTAAAGTTATATAGAGTACTAAATAAAATATATATAAAAGAGAACATTTATACGAGTTACAAGTTAAGAATTTGGATTGCAGTAACAAGTGCATAAGTCATAAGATTCAACTCTTTAATTTGTTGCACACACGTCAGTCTAACAATCATGCTTGCGATTACTACAAGTATTAATTGAAGTCAAATTTTTATTTTCCTTTCATGCCGAATAATGAATAGATACGTCATATGTAAGTTAGCGCTCAGAAGACGACAGGAATCACAACGAACCTATAACATAAATCGAGGACGGGCACATGAATTATCAACCCCAAGCACCCCCCCCCCCCCCCAACCAAAAATCAAAATTTATGGAAAAGAGGACACAAAATTCCAATACAAGTACTAAGAAAAACTTTTTCTCCGTCAATGCAACAGTTTCACAAAAGTTTACATCAGTCATCACCATCATTTCATTTCCACATCCACCAAAACTAAAATGGCCCCTAAAAAGAACAAAGACAAACAAAATTTGGGGCTGTCCTTTTTTGTACAAACAAAATACAACCACTACTAAATTAAACCTACTCCTAATTTTAAGTCTAAAAAAAAAAACACTAATTACTTATTTATTTAAATTTTTTATTTCTTTTTTTTTTGGATTTTTTTAGAAGAATACTTCCACACTATCCTGTTTAGCAGAGTAACAAACAGGACACAACCCAAGAACAGACTCACAGTTTCTGCAGCAACAAAGATGTTTACAGGGCAGAAATACAACACACAATTTTCCACTATTACACCATTTGCAAACCATCTTTCTATTTACTTCTTGATGATTTTCTTGAATAGCTATATCATTCTTGTCAATAGCTTCACATTCATTGACACTCTCTGCATCATCTTCAACACCATGATTACCATTAACAATGTCGTTTCGAGGCGGTGTCGAAAAGGCGAGGTTTTGCTGGATTACAAAGAGCATATTGTTTAGTTCAATCACCATTTCTTGTTTCTCCCTTGCAATACTCTGCCACATCTCTGTTTCTTGTTCTGATTTTTTCAAGAATTCTTCTAGCATCTTTGTTTTCCCCCTTAATTTTTCAAGTTTTTCATCTTTTTCTTTCATTATTGACATTGTTCTTGACTCAAAGGTGTTTATAAGATACTGCATTTGCTGCCTTTTTTGTTGGTGTAATGCTTGCTTCAGTCTTTCTCCCTATTTCACATTACAAAAAATTTAAGAGATTTACATAATTTCACTATTTTTTTTCTTAGAAAAATTTATAAAATAATTCATAATAAACCCAAAAAATGGAAATATGGCATAAATTCTGAAATTACACGTATAAAATATAACAGGTTGTTATATTAAACATGATTTTTTTTTTTTTCCCTCAAAAAAAAAAAACATGATTTTTTTTTTAAGAAAAATATAAAACAAGATTATTAAACACAAGTTATTAAAAAACAAACGTGGGTTATAAATTTATTATTGGTAGTTTTTTACACACGCCACGCCATAAATATAACATAAAAATAATTTAACAGATGGTTATTAAACACAAATTATTTATAAATCATATCATAAAAGTCTCTTCTATTTTTACTCCCAGTAACACAAATCATGCAAATATTCAAAACAAGCTTGGAAAAAATGTCATCGAACCTTTTTTTTAGGTAGGTAATTCTTATAAAACAATAAATCGTTACGTTAAAGTTTAGACCGTCTGATACAATAGTTTACGAACAACAAATTAACAATGGCGTACCTGGGCATGGAGATAAAGATCAATTTCACGCTTATGTTTATCAAGCAAAGCAGAAAAAGGCAAAGAATTCTCAGAAACAGCAGTTGTTGCAGTAGAAGAAGAACCAATTCCTTGATTATTACCAACGTTGTTATACCCCATTCCCATTCCGGGCTCGAAACGGTATCGCTGCGGTTGCGTTTGAGGTAGCCGTCGGTGATTTTGAATAGGATTAGAGAGATTGGGAAATGTTGGTATCATATTACTTTGAGAAAAACCCAGATTTTCTGAGAAAAATTCAGTCTCAACCGCCATTCTATAAGAAAAAAAATGAGATTAGAGAGATGTGGGTGGTTTAGTTTTTTTTACGGAGAGGTTTTATAAAATCAAATCAAGTTCCGCCAAAGCAATGATATTGCGGGGGTAGGTTATGATATGAGAGGAAGAAGAGGAGGGGGAGCAAAGAGCAAAGATTTCATGACTAATATTTTTGGTGTTCTTTTATAAGGCAAAAGTGAAGCAGATAAGGAAGGATTATAGGGAGTAATAATAATATAATAATAATAATAATGTAAATAAAAATGCTGACAGAAAGGAAAAAAATATTAAATTAGAAAAGAAAGAAATCGATCAGATTTTAACGTTGTTTTGATGGGTAAATTAAATTAGTAAAAATAAAAAGTAAAAAAAGGAGGAGAGAGAAAATAAGACGACGACGACGTACACATGCAGATATTGTGACAGTCAATCAGTCATAGAGGAAAGGCAGTAGGTCAAGTTTTGATTTATTTGAGGTGCGAAAAGGACATTTTCAGATTTTAGAGAGAGAATTTTCAGAGAGAGAAAATTATTTATTTTAAGGGAAAATAAATTAAAGGAAGAAAAATGTTTTGGATTTTTACTTGTCAGTTGGTCATTGGGAAATGTTGACGATTTGATTTACAAATTGCAAAGACTTTGATTTTTCTTCTTTCTTTTTTTTTCTTTTTTTTTTAAATTTTTTTTTATTTGGCTTTTTCATTTATTTTTTTTGGTGGAAATTGGCCTTTTCAATTAGTGTGTTGGAAATCTTTTTTTTTTTTTTTAAACCGTGTGTCGGAAATCTTTTTCTTCCTAATTTGTTGCTTTAGGTGACCCGTTGCATTTATGATTGGGACAAAGAAAAACAAACCATTATTATTAGAAAGAAAAATTATTTTAGGTGAATGGGAGTTGACATATTTTTTACATAATTATCTTAAGTTTTTATGATTTTACATTATGTGTTTGAGATATATTATGATCTTACATTACCTTTGACAACTCAAATTTAGGTAATTTTATTTCGGGGTTTCTAAGGTTTACAAATCTACCCATTTTGAAAATCTCATTCTGATTTATTTATAATGTTGACGTTCAAAACAACCTATTTAATTTTGAGATTGAATATCTCAGTTGATATTATTAATTTTTAAAATTGTAATGCTAACGCTAATATCTCAGTTGATATTATTAATTATTTTAATTGTAATGTTGACGTCGTGCAAAACCAACCTTTTCTCAAGATAAAGACTTAAATTTTGGATTCTCTCAAAAAAAGACTTCAAATATTTTTTTATTGTTTTTGAATATAAAAAAAAAACCTTCAATTTTGAATTTCTAAGTAAAAACCTTTAATTTTAAAATTTATAATTACGGTCTTGATAATTCCTTCAATTAAACTTCCCAAAAAATTAGTGATGGAATTCTCAACAAATTAAAATCAATCAAAAAATGGGAAAATAGTGATGGAAACAATCTCAAAAAATTAAAATCAAGCCAAAAAGTGGGAAAAAAAAAAGAAAAAGAAAAACAAACACACACACACAAAATTAATAGGTGAATGAGATTTGACATATTTTTTCTTTAATTATTAGGTTTTTATAATTATATATATATATATATATAAGAGACAAGTTTGTTGTATGCTGAAGGTATAGATTGAATTTTTCTAAGCTTGTCATTATGGATAGCCATGAAAGAACGTTTACTATTCGTTATGAAAAAGATGATCATCAAAAGCTGGTACGTAAAAGTTGATACAACATAATTTACAAAGTTAATCCATAATTGAAAATAATGATCATCCTTTGCTCCCTTCCTCCTTCCTTATTTAATGATATAGTAAAATTTACAAAGTTAATCCATAATTGTCACTCCCCTCTTTTCAGTTCCCTCCTCACAATATTCCATCTTCCTTTACATTTTAGCACTTGACTTATATAGTTTTACAATAATATTGAGAATATTTTTGAAAAGTACCTAATCCTTTTTTACATACTAAAGATGATCCTCTAAAGAGTTCTACATCTACCTCTTTCTCTTTCCTAATAAGTTAGAAGCCCCTCACGATTTTCCCAGTATATACGCTAATGAATTCCCCATTATATTATAGAAGGGGAAAAAAGGGAAAAATTCCACATTTGCACTCAAAGGTAATTGCATTAGTTCAGTAATAAAATACAAAATTGAACACAAAGCATTAGTTATATACGTTAAGAATGGTCTCTTGAAATGCTTCTCACCTCTTCCATCATCTGTTGCTCTAAAATCTATCTTCTCTTCCCCAACCCATCTATCCCTATACCACTTTATTTTTCTCTTTCTCAGACCCTTTCTCTCTCCCTCTCCCTTTCCCCCTCTCTCTCTATTTCTCTATTTTTTTCTCTTTTGACCGTTGTCTTTCTCTCTTGCCCCTTTCTTCTCTCTCTCTTCCGCTTTCTATCTCATTTTTTTTTTCCAACCTCTATTTCTCCCTTTCTCTTCTCGGACTCCTCTCCCCAGTCCCCTAACCTATCACTCTCTTTCTCTCCCGAGTCCCAACCCTTCTCCTTTCCCAGAATGCTCTCTCCTCTTCTAGCCTGCCCTCTTTCTATTTAGACTTGCCCTTTCTCCCTCTCCTGATCCCTCTCTCCCTTAGCCTATTTCTCTCTCTCTTAGACCTCTCCTCTTTCTCGGCAATCTCTCTCCTAACTCCCTCTCTTTCTCGATGCAAAAATGTTAAATATTTCTAGCTATGATTATCTAGTGTTAACCGAGAGATAGTACATTTCTTCGGATATTTTGTAACTTCACTTTTTGGAAAAAGAAAATAAAATAGATTGCAAATATTTTAAAAAGGTTTTAGGGGTAAAATATCTTGTAAATTCTTTGAATTTCTCATAATTTTAATTTTTGTAAATGAAAATATAATAGATTGTAAAATTATAGCTAACACTTGCTCCTTCCCCCTCGACCCTCCTTCCCTCCCTCTCTCCCAAGGTCTCTTTATTTTTCCCAGCTTCTCTCTATTTCCCTCTTTCTTTCGGCCTCCCTCTCCCTTCTTCTCTCCTGAGCCTTCTCTCTCTCCCAACCTATCTATCTCTTTATCACTCTATCTATCTATTTATCTTTCTCCCCTCCATCCCCTATTTCCTTTTATTGTTCTATTTCTTTCTATTTCAACTCTTATCTCTCTTCCGTGGTCATCTTTCTAATTCTCTTTTTATTTCACTATCTTTTTCTCTTAACTCTTCTTTCACTTTTTCTCTTCTTCCAACTCCACTGTCTATCTCTTTCCTGGTCACTCTTTCGTTTTCTCTCTCATGACCCCTCTTTTCTCCTGACATGCCTTCTCCTAGCCTCTCCTCTCTTCTCTTCTTCCCTCCTAACCTGCCCTTTATCCCTTGCCTCTTTTCTTTCACTTGGCCCCCTTTTCTCTTTCTAGACCCTCTTCTAACTTCGCTCCTTCTCACTCGACGTATCCCTCTTTCCTTGCCCCTCTCTCGCTATCTCACATGTCCTATCCTTTTTTTCTCTCTCTCTCTCCCTTTCTCTCCTTCTCCCCCTCCTCCTTTATATATATATATATATATATATATATATATATATATATATATATATATATATATATATATCTCCCTTTCTCTCCTTCTCCCCCTCCTCCTTTATCTCTCTCTCTCTCTCTCTCCCTCGGCTCTCTCCGTCTCCTTTTCCTCTATGTATCCTATTCCTTCTCCCCCTTTATCACGATTTTACCTTAAGTTTTAAATGTGTTATTAATCAATTTGACTTTATATACAAAGTATCACATTAATATTAATTTTTAAGCAATCAAGATTAGCAATTAAGTGACCATATCTCTCTTTCTCTCTCCTTTGTTTCATCCTTATCTCCCTCCCTCTCTACTTTATAATATTGCAAAATTTATTTAGATAATCTTAACTTGCGTTCAACTTTCATCCTCACTCCACAATTCCTACTTGCTCTCCTCTAATAAGGTTTCGATGTTCCCCAACCATCCTAGTTTAGCACGGTTTTTTTTCCATCTTCCTCTACATGTTTTACACTTAACTTATATGGTTTATTAAATTTTAGAATCTTTTCAAAAGTACTATTTATCTAATCTTTGATTACATTCCAAAAAATATTCTTCTAATTAAAGTTCTCTTTATCTCTTTCTCCTTCTTTTGTAGCCGTTGTACTCTTCTACAATTAAGCACTAAGAATGGTCTCTTAACGTGGTTTGTTCTCACCTAATCCTTCCTTTATTGTCCCAAGCCTCTCCTCTCTTTCTCTGTTTATCTTCCCTTGACCTTGTCTACCTGCTCTTGCTTTGAAAATTATCACTTGTTCACCTCTCACAAATTCCTTTCCTAGTATGCCTTCTCTTCTCCTGGCATGCCCTCTCTTGACTCCCCAATATATGGATAATTTGGTGGGTACAATTTGGTCTCACCTTTTTCCTTCTTCCTTTACATTTTAATACTTTACTTATATGATTTTACAAAATTATGTAAAATCCTTTTGAAAAGTATTGTTTACCTACTCCTTGATTACTACTAAAGATGATTCTCTATTGATTTTTTCATCCTTTTCTCCTTCCTTCAAACCCATCGCCATTTTACCTTATTTATTTCATGTTCTCAATTTTTTTTTTCTCCATTTTACTCCTCCATAGCTTCTAAGTCTCTTCCACAATTAAACACTCAAAGTGGTCTCTTGGATTGTTTCTCACCTCTTCCTTCCTCTGTTGCCCTAAATCCCCCCTTCTCCCTCCCTCCCCCTCCCCCTCTCTCTCTATCTCCCCACACACACTTTTTTTTATGGCTCTGAAAATTATAGATCAAACTTATACCCATATCACTCATTCATTCCTTTATTAGCCTATGGCCCCATACTCTTTTTCTTAGTCTCTTTCATTCTTTCTAATTCTTCTTTTCCCTATTCCATCCTCTAAAAGGCTTTGAAAATTATAGATTAGACTTGCTCCCTTTCCCCCCAACCCCTCCCCCCCTCTCTCCCCAATCCCCTTTTGTTTTCTTAGCTTCTCTCTATCCGCCTCTTTATCTCTTTCTCTCCCGGGCCTTCTCTCTCTCCCAACCCATCTCTCTCTCCCATCCCCCTTTTTCCTTTATTACTCTATTTTTTTTCTCTTTCGACCCTTATCGCTCTCTTATGGCCCTCTTTTTTCACTCGCTTGTTCTCGTAACTCCTCTTTCTATCTCTTTCTTTTCTTCCGGCTCCTCACGTAAACCTGAACCCTTTTTCTCACTTTCTATCTCTCTCCCTACCCCTCTTTCTTTCTCTCTCTCTCCTAACCCCTCTTTCTTTCTCACTCTCCTGACCTCTCTCCTCTCTCGGTGTGCCCCTTCCTCCCCTCTCCTAGTTTGCTCTCTATCCCTTGGCCCTTTTCTCTCTCTCAACCCCCTCTGTCATTCCCGGCCCTTCACTAACTTGGCTTTTTCTCTCTCGACACATCCTTTTATCCACGCTCCTCTCTCGCTATCTCCCATGTCCCTTCTCTTTCTCTCTC